GCACAAGAAACAAAGGGAGGCAGAATCCACCTCCAGCACAGATTGGTTCATTTCTACACTGGCTAAGCAAATTCCAGAAAAATCCTGGGAGGAACGCAAAATCCTATTTTTTAACAAGTTTACCTATGCATCTCACTCATCTAAAGACAAGTAACTAAACTTAATGAAAGGGGAAACATTTCAAAAAAATTCTTTGGTTTCAGAGCAATCAATTGGAGTCGAATGATATATGTAGCATATTGAGATCAAGCTGATCGAACTCAGTTTGAATGCCTAAACCCGTTTACCTTATGCCATGCACCCGTGTGAACTTGCTTCAGTCGAACTCAAATTTGACTTTGAGAAACTATTGTGACAATGCAATAATAAAATAGATCTTATTTCAAAATGTATCAAGTTTTTGTCCTGCCAAGTTAGCATTTGGTGTAGCTAGTTCATCCAAATTATAGAGATTGCAATGGCTTCTGGGATTTCACCTGCCAACAAATCATGGCATCACAATGAAATTTAATAAAGGAAGTTTGCACCAATATTACTAAAGTAATTAACGACTGCCAGCAGCAATCTTTTTTATGTAAATATTCCATGTAAATTATAAATTTAGTCTCAAAATCCTGTAAAACATAATGAAAATTTCTTATTGGGTTATGAGGATTGTGAACAACTTTCATGGGGCTATGATGGATTTCAGTCTAAATTCATAATTAATGCGTTAACTTACATCAATTAGTGATGGACGACAATTTCCAGTTATAGCAAAGAACTTTAGAAATGTTGTTGCAAATTATGATTGAATAAAAAGAAGATTTTTTTTAATATTTTTGACAAAATAAAGAAGCAAGTTAAGAAATAAGAAAAATAAAACAATTTAGTTTGAAATGAATATAGATAACGTTAAGGATGCGGCCAAAACTGAAAATACTTCAAGTAAAAAATTGACATAGTGTATGTCAAGGTAGAATTGTCTTTTTCAACCTAGACACACACACACAAAAGCAATTATTTGCAATGAACTTTAGAATGTTAAAATATATTAATACATATTACTATTCATAATATTAATACATATTACTATTAATACATATTATATATATTATTATTCATTAAGACTAAAAAAAGGGAAAAAGAATAAATTAATTGATTCTCTTTTTTTTTTGTGAGCAACGATACATTTGTATAACCTACTCTATCAATCTAGGGGGGAGGGGAGTCTAAGGAGGCTATGGTAGGGGGTTAGTGGATATACAGACCCAACTAGACCAATGAGTGCTATGATACAATCCTTAGATTTTTTTTTTCGTTGAAAGTGAGGTTTGAACCCCTATCTACAGTCCAACGAGGGACTTAAACCCTCCCTGTTGGCCACTGAGTCATTGGCCCAGTGGTTCAATTAATTGATTCTCAATTGATACAATTCATAAAGTTGAGTGACTAGAGTAAACTAGACAAGGCCCAACCACTGGGGCCGAAACACAATAGGTTTCTCGAATATGTGTAGCCTAAATATTGGGTACTGAAGCCATCAAATCCTGAACAGATTTGTCGTTGAATTTTCTTGTTTATTAATTTTTGTGTTGTTTAATCAATATTCTTATCCTTAGAACACTTATTTTTTAATTGTTGCATGACAAGACCAGTTTTGACAAAGTTGCATAACATGTGCTTGTATATCTTGGCTCATATACGTGGAATGTAGAACTGCTACGGTATATCACGTTTGGAGGCTAAGGAATGAAGTAATTTTTCAGTTGAAGTCTGCTACATTTGATAAACTTTTGAAGGATATTATTGAAGCAGGGTGCTTTGTAGCAAGTAGTTGGTCAAGCTTTCCTAAAACACGTCAAAATTGGGAGATTGTGCTGAAGTGGGGTGTGGACTGAAAATGCTTGTCAGAATAGAAAGTAAAGGATAAATTGTAAGTAGTTAGAAGGTGTAATAGAGGTGTTAGCCAGAGTGTACAAACTTTCATTGCTGATTGATGCAACTACCGAGAGCACAATCTTAACTGAGCATCGGGGGTGTGCTCAAATTGAGGAGAACCAAACTGGTACCAGCGAGGTGGTCCGAACTGACCTGCAAAGAGATGAGCAGCGAGACTAGCTCCCTGTTGTGACTCCAACGTACAAATCAGTTATGGCTGTCAATAAAACAATGATATTGACTACTGTAGATGGCGTACGTTACTTAGTTCCATTGTGTTATATTTATAGAGCCCCTAGTAGTTGTTTCCTTGTAGAATTATGAGCCCTATTAGGGATGGACTCTTTCTTGGATCCTACCTCCAATTCAGTCCCAAAAGGCCAGGGAGCCTCGGTCCACTCGGCCCACCTTGCGAGGAGGCGGCGGCCTTGCCTGAACTGGCTGTCGTACCAGCTCGAACTGACATGTCATTCATCCGAACTGACATGTGACCTCGACGAATTGGCTCCTCCACACTGATCAATAAAATTACTTATTATTTGCCCAAGAAAAAATTAAGAAATTACGCATGCATATATGTAGTCCAGACATTATCTGAGAAACTCTTCCCTTGTGGAATCTGCAAAAAGTGCAATGAGTATGAAGACTCGCCATACTCTAAAAAATATTCTAATTATTTTGGGTTATCTCTATCTTACACCTTTCAATTATACCCCACTTAATTCCATTTTTAGTTAACAAAAATTGATAAACAAGGATTATCTTGCCTAAGGTTCCTCCACCAAAACTTAATTCCTTTGACAGTCATTCAATGTCACCTGACAATGAAAATCTTTGGGTATATTGACCAAGAAATGGGATGTGACGATCAAATCCAAATGTTCATGCTCATGCACTTTTAGGCTTCAGCTCATGAATTGGCATGGAACTGTTTATCAATTAACAAAATAGATCAGGCCGTTTTCCAAACAAAATAGATCAATTAACACCTTCAGCTTATATAACAAAAATAGATCATAAAAACATCTCAATACGTCCATGGATTCTGTTTTCCAAACCCGGAGGGGATGGAAGAGGCTGAATTTTTTTAATCTCCAATGTCAAAGGAATGTATGAATTAGATGGGGAATCTCCAACGCCAGAGAAATGCATAAATGAAATGTTCCCAAATCACCTACAATCCAGTGAAGAGCTCCAACAAAAGTAATTTTTTCAAAATAGAGCTATTTAACAAATGTTCCCACAGCTCAAGGAAATGGTACATCGTTATTGTTCACAATCTCCCACCATCGTCAACACCAATTACAAATTTGAGCTTCAGGTAACCTTTATAAAGTGTTATTAATTTCGATTAGGTAGTAATTGTTGGACATGAAACTACTTTGCACTCTCTGTTCTGTGCAACTTTAAAATGTATTTTGAAATAAAATAAGGTTTTTTTAATGGGTGCCCCTGATCTACCATTTATATATGCATACTAACAATTACTACCATCGCTTACATTTATACATTTTTCCTAATTAATCTATTTGTATTTATATGTTTTTCCCAATTAATCTTATATTTCTAAACATCTAACACATATCTTAACGAGTGCACTCATTGAGCACCCATTAGTCAAACCGATAAAATAAATACATGAATCTATATGCCGTATGCATGCTTTATATTTACAAATACATATGCCTATGTGTATCTTTATATGGTGATATATATCCACGATCAATTTGTTTCTCATTTATTTGCAAAAATTGAAAAAGGGGAAGATGGATCAATAACTGAAAATAAATCGTCAACTTAATTGCTATATATGTATGTCAAACATAAACACCAAGTAAACTGCTTGGGCTTTCATAACATATAAATTGGGATTATGAACTTGAGGTCTCCATATCTGTAAACAAACTTATTGGTAAATACAACATATCTCATTCCTGTTTTCAACCTTAAGCATTTCGGCGGTGACAAAGTCAAGACAAAGATTCCCCAAATACATTTGCACCTCAGGACTCTGCAATGTATTCAGGAGAAAAACATAAGTACTACTTGAATGAATAGTAATCCTTGGAATAAGCTTTTGTTATACCACAAGATTGAAGAATAAGTTGCTACTGGAATATCTCATAAATAATGGTTTATACCTGCTTCAAGGAGCGATATCTTTAATAAACTGAAGTTTGATCTTCTGGAGCGCTCTTAGAATCTCTTTCATGTTTATTCTTTCCTCAGGAGCATATGTTGTACAACTTAAACCAAGTTGCAAGATAGATAATATGCATTCAATCTTCCTTTGTACCAGTCCATCTTCATGATGAAGTAAATCTACATCTATAACTTGAATTATAGAATCTGGTAAGCAATCTTGTACCCAACACCTAAGGCTTAACTCTTCTGTAAACATCTCATCCTTGGGCTTTCTTTTCGTAAATGCGTCCATCAATAAAATCCCAAAGGTGTAAGCATCACTACTTGTTGAAACCAATCCTTCCAGTCCATATTCTAGCATCAAAGTTTGAAACTCATTGTTAAAGTCAAGTACAGGTATCAGTTCACCAACTTTATGCATTTTTTTCGAAGTTCTTATATTTCACATACCGTACTAGTTGTTGAAATTTGAAAGTTGAAACATTAATTTGAATGACATAAAAAATTCGAAATTGTAATCAAGAAAAGTCACCTGGGGCAATATATTCAAATGTAGCAAGAGTCTTTGTTTGTACCACAAACTCTTCATCTCCCAACAACTTTGCAATTCCAAAATCACAAACATGCCCAACCATGTCTTGATCCAGTAGAATGGCTTCAAATCACAGTGAACTATCGGAGTTGAATAACCATAATGGAGATATTCCAAACCACAAGCCACATCTATCATAACATCCAATCGTTGCTTGATATTTAAGAAATGATGATTTGAATGTAGCCATTTCTCAAGGCTTCCCATTGGGCATATATTCAAGCACCAAAGCCTTAAAGTCAGGGCTAGAGCAAGCACTAATTGCTCTAGTTAAATTTCGATGACGAAGGCAGCTTAAGACTTCACATTCTCTATCAAAGCTTTTACATGCACCTTCTAGCTGCTAATCGAATACTTTTATGGCCCAAACCATCCCATTTTCACGAATTCCTTTGTAAACTGAACCAAAGCTCCCCGAGCCAAGTAAGTTACTCTCGCTGAATCCATTTGTTATTTGTCTAAGTTCATGGAAGGATGCCCTTTCAAATGTCGCCATGGGAAGCAAGTTCTGAGTCGGAGCTAGATTTTTCTTTCTTAACTTTAACCGCATCAAAAAAATTGAAATCACCATGGCTAATATGACAGAACCTGATGCCAACAGAACAATCATGACTATCCTTTTTGTCCTTGACTCATGTTGAAATGTACTTGTACAAGGTTGGAGCCAAGGAGCGCCACACAATGCTTCATTTGAGAGAAGCATAGGTTCGTGAAATTTGTGAATGGCCCTCCATGAGGAATTGGTCCTCTTAATCTATTGTAAGACACATTAAAGTGTAGGAGATCTGATAGTACCTGTAGTGAGCTGGGAATTTCACCTTCCAGATTGTTAAAAGATAGATCCAAATGCCGTAACTGCAGCATATTCTTCATGGAATTTGGTATCGATCCTTGTAACTTCTTGTGCTCCAAGGAGAGTTCTTGAAAACCCTGTAGTGCCCCAATGGTGCTAGGTATCTCACCCAAGTATTGATTATTTGAAAAGTTCAATGTGATTAATGCCTTGAAGCTTCCAATTTCAGTGGGCAAAGTGCCAGTCAAATAATTTGCTGACATGTCCAGCTCCAAAATATCTCTTAGGATCCAAAAGCTTGCTGGTATGTTAGAACTTATATTGTTGGAATTGAGATAAACATATCTTAGTGTTCTAAAATTTCATAAACAAGAAGGAACCGTACCAGAGAGCTTATTTTTTGCCAGATTTAATCCTTCGAAGTTCAACAAATAACAAAGCTCACTTGGAATACCTCCTTGTATCTGATTGTCATTTAGATCTATCATCTGAAGCTTCAACAACCATTTGATTGTAGTTGGAATTACTCCTGTCAAACTATTGAATGCAAAGCTCAGCACTATTAAGTTGCTCAAATTACCAATCGAACTTGGAATTTCACTTATGATTCCACAACGAGTGGCAGAAATGGATTCGAGTGAGCTGGAAAGATTTCCAATAGACTTTGGGAGTAAGCCATTCAGAGGATTCTCATCTAACCACAACCTTCTTAAATGTTTGCAGCGAGTCACCAGAAAAATCATTTTGCCATATAGCAAACTGTTCCAGTAATCTCAAGTTTCCAAGAGAATGAGGAATTACACCAGTAAAATGGTTCGTACTAAGTTCTAGCGTTCTGAGCCTAGAAGCATTTGAGATAGATGTTAGTATAGTTCCAGTAAATTCATTTCCCCACAGGTAGAGTTCCTCAAGATTGGGTAAGGAAGCACCTGTAGTTGATGGAAGCTCGCCTGATAAGTCATTCTGCGCGACAGAAATTACTCGTACAGTTGAACTATTGAACAGTTTCAGCGGAATGGAACCTCTCAACCTATTGGACTCCAAGTTTAGTAGTTCCAACTTGCTAAGATTACCAACCTCTTGAAGTATTATACCAGACAAATGAAATTGGTTAAAAAAAATGTGAAGATTGTTTGTTGTCCTACTTTTAGAATAGAAATGAGGAGTTATATTTTTGTATTTACGCCTATTAAAAATATTCTTAACTGTATCACTAGATAGTCTAATCAATAGGAATATTTGATTTTAAATATCTATACACTAGTATGAATACCATTAGCATTACTAGTGATAAAGGGCACACTCAATTTACGTGCAATTTTTTAAAAATCACTTTTTATAGGGAAAAATTGATATAAAATTTTAATGAACGAAAAAACTTTGATCTTTTAAAAGCTTTTTAAATATTATTATAACGAATTTGGTAATTATAATGTTTGTGGTTGGTCATCAGTGAAAATTTGTTGTGCTATTGGTTGACAATACATAGGCAACGTGTTAATCAGATGATAAAAGTATTATTAGGTGATTGTGATGATAATGTTGAAAAATTTTAAAAATATGATCTAATTAAATTTCAACTCTGGTTATTATGTCATAAATTCATTTGCATTAATTTTGTCTAATACCATTACAAATGCATTTTTTAAAATTTCTTTATGTTATACGTACCCACAAATATAATGAACAATCATGCAACAACGTCATATAATTTCTCCTACAAATATTCCATCTCAACTAATTAATTAACCATTCGTTTGCTCCCTCACCATTATTAATTTAATAATTAATAATCATTTCTCTTATGATTGGTTTAATTAATTGTACATATTAATTTACGATCATTTTCATCCTACCCATGATTGGTTTAATTGTCCTCGTCAACTGCTTTAACCACTAACTCTGCCCACCGTAAGCAAAGCAGGACAACATTGCAAAACTTTTGTATCTCACATATCTAAAGTCGAGTACCTAAATTTAATGAAAGAGGAAGCATATCAACAAATTAAAGGGTAAAGATAGGAAAGCAAGTGGTATAATTCATTGACGATTTTGGAAATGGCAAAACATTTTGAGACAATGTTTCAAACAAATTCATGTCAAAATGTATCAAGTTTTTTACCTGTCACATTAGCATGCCCCATGCCTAGTTTCTCCAAATTATAGAGATTGTCAATGACTTTTGGAATTTCACCTGCCCAAAAATCACAGCATGATGATAAATATAATTAACGGCATGGCATAATTATATGTATATGACATATGTATTTCGGAATTCTAAGGATCTTCAATCAAGTTTCAAATAGTATCATTGAAATTTCTCGTAAATATTGGCAAAATGATGATTACATACACTCCCAAATATTGGAGGTTATTTTGGTGGCAATCTCTATGCGTATGTTGATGGATTTTTAAATGTGTGCATAAATTAGAAATAAAATTGATATAAAATATAAATATGCATATCAAAATTAATATTTTTTACATTTTCTTTCATAGACAGTAAAGCCATGAAGTTTCAAATGTCCGAAAATTTTAAGGGGAAATTACTCAAAACCCCCCATGTGGCTTGTAAATATACTTTTAACATCCTTATGCTTTGGATTGAAAGGCAAGAGAGATGTAATCCATCAAAACCAATGGTTTTGTGCAAAAGACAACTCTACCCCATTAATATACAGAGTGTTAATTCGTTCTTCTTTGACAATTTTACTTCTTACATCAAACAAAATTGTGTGTTTGGCATAGTCATTAATCCCGGCCTAGACATCAACCCGGCAAGGCCATTGGTATAACAGGTTAGCGGCTTAACTATAGATTTACTGATCCAGTCGATGTTTCTAAAATATTGTACACTAAAATATTTTAACTACTAAAACATTATAATTATTAAATTATTAGTTTAACAGGTCAGTATTTTAGATTTTATCAATTGAATTGATGAAAATTATTGACTAGTTATCGATTTCCTTCCTCATTCAGTTCAACTACTAATCCAAGATCACTAAGTTGACCAAATGAACCATCGGATTAGGTGAGGTTAGGTTTAGTAACTCTGTGTTCGCCATGTTTTGAGTTTTTTATTTCCTAACTTTTGTCTTTATTTTGTTGAAAACAAAAACTTCTTTATTCAGACAAAGTTTGCACCACTACTTAAGTAGTTAGCGATTATCAGCAATAGTGAATGTGTGATGTAAATTTTTCATGCACTTATGAGTCTAGTTTCAAAATCCTTTAAAACCCAATGAAAATTTCTCATTGGGTTACGAAGGATTTTCTGTCTTAATTTGTACTCTACACAATAAACTTACATCAATTAGTCGTAGATGACAATTCCCGGCTATAACTACTTGCTTATAATGTTGTTGCAAATTTTGGTTGATTAAGGAAGAATATTTTTCATTTTACATTTTTTGACGAAATCGAGATGAAAAAGTTGACAAATAAAAACATCAAAACATTATTATATTATATTAACGACCCGGCAATTTAACCAATGAATTGGAAAAAAATCACTGGTTGAACCGTTGGTTGAACCACTAACTTAAAATTTTTATTTTTTTTTATAATTTAAGATATATTATTATATTATATTATATAGTTAATATGCAACCCACAGTTAATCATCAACCCGGTGACTCGATCATTTCTCCGGGAAGAGTTTTGGGTCAGCGACGATACATTTGTATAACCTACTCTATCCTAATCTAGGGGGAGGGGGAGCCTAAGGAGGCTGTTGTAGGGGCTAGTGGGTATACAGACCCAACTAGACCAAGGGAGTGCTATGGCACAACCCTTAGATTTTTTTTCGTTGCTGGTGAGGTTTGAACCCTCACCAACAGCCCAAAGAGGGACTTAAGTCCCTCCCTGGTGGCCATTGAGCCATTGGCCCAGTGGTTGGTTCAAATTTCCTTAGACTAGCTTTTTATGTAATTGGTTCAACTTTCGCTGTTGAGTGTTTTGTAGAGCAATTGATGTTACACGCAATTCCGCTGCTTTAGCATTCTATGTGGCAAAATTGAATTTTGAGTATAACGATGTTCCAAGAATGATGAAAATGATACTACTCCAAGCCAAGCTAAAATTATTAAGTGTCTGAAAATTTCTATACAAAAATAAATTGAAGTATAAAAGAAGAGAAGATGTAAAGTGTCCTATTCCTCAATGGGCCTGTACGAGTCTAAGGCATTCATTGTCTCACTAAGACGCACCACAATTGTGTCTGACCTTTAAGGCATTTATTGTGTGGAAATACAAGTTTCGGTCAAGGACTACTCCAGTCCAAGTCCTTACGCTCCAGAGTCAAGAATTGGATTTATTCACTCATTTCCGTGTGTTTGCTTCCAACGAAGATGGGGAAAAATCTACTTTTCGTCCCTAAACTTTAAGGTAGGGACATATTTCGTCCCCAAACTTTTAGATGCATCACATTTAGTACATGAATTAATTATTTTTTGCCACATTTAGTCTAAAATGGTAAATTGCTTAATTTAGATGAAGAAAGTTATGTGTTTGGCATGTGGCTGTTAAATAAAAATAATTTTTCAATCAAAATCAACGGCCACATTAGCTTTCTCCATCCAAATTGAATATTTTACCCTTTTTGGACTAAATGTGGCCCAAAATAATTAATTCATATACTAAATATGGTGCGTCTAAAAGTTTGGGGAGGAAATGTGTCCCTAACTCAAAGTATAAGGATGAAAAGTGGATTTTTCCCAACCAAATGGATGCCAGCCCAACGAAAGAAGATATTAGTGTAGTCTTTCTACATGAATGGAAGGCAGTTGACTGGAAATTCTTGTGTGAATCTAGTCTATGGTATAAGGGGGTTAATTATGTTTATCTTCTGGTTAAATAACAAAAAATGAACCAGTCGGTTGACCAATCTGTATTTACCCCTCTAAGTAGTGATGGTGTTCAAACCAAACTCATGAAATGAAATAAAGGAAAAAATACAGTGTTAATCCTCAATATTTGGCTCATGTGCCAAACTGTCCCTAATGTTTCAATTAAAACAAATTTGGTCCCCAAATATTAGAGGTGTCAAATAAACCCATTTAATTAATTTTAACCATACCCGCCCATTAATAATTGGATATGGGTACATTAAATTTTTATATATGGGTATAAATGGGTTACCCAATTATATCCATTTATTAAATGAGTATAATTGGATAAACCATCAAACCCAATTAACCTATTTAACTTACATTCCCAAATTTCTTTGTATTTTCAGTTTTCACCGTCAATCTTCTTCTCCTCCCCACCACCAAGCCCACTGCTCCCCCCCTCTTCCTCCAGTGTTTGATTCCCCTCTCCCTTCTCCCCGTCTCTGCATAATAGAAGGTTTTTGCCCCTTCCATGTCCAATTCTTGAGCTGATCTATGAATAAACCGGCGGTGTCTTGAAGATTTTCCCGGAGAATGTTAAGAGTCTGGCCGCTGCTCACCACCTCTGCAAACAGGTACCCACAGCACAACCACGACTACTACCAAACTAACCATCTACGTTTCAAGTTCATGATGCTTCATGATTCGATTTCAGGTGTTGGATGTGATGGTTCTTGAAGGTGGCTACGAATTTGGGCCCAAAAATAGAACTCTTGCTCCAGATGATGTTGGCATTCGAGGTGAGATTATTCTTCAACTTCTCCACTCCTTTAAAATTTTCCTGCGCCTTCGTAATAAAGCATTCTTGAAGTTTTTGCTCTTGATATAAGGAAATCAAAAGTTAGTCAAGG